TTGCACCTTCTAATAAGTACTGGATCTAGGCAATCACCAATGGCTACTAAAGCCAGTAGGTGAACGGCTAAACTGCAATGGAATGGCAATAGAGTAAGATGAGATGGTCCATAGCTGCCTCCCATTTTACCTGCCTTTGCCTTTTGAGAAAAATTCAGCCTTGACTTCCATTCAAGGTTACAGACAGGCCGCGCGTCCCCAGTGGTCCACCACTTCAGCAAGGCAAATGATGACAGTAAGATTCCCTAGGAATGAGCCTTCCTAGTACCACGGGATATTATTCAACCAAGAGGTTGGTCATTACTGCATCCTTCAGACTGATTTATGACCACAAGGGGAAGTGTGGATGAAAAGAGGGCCACATACTAAACCTGACAAACTCAGGGGAGGCCAGCATGGTGGGCCTTATAAACTCAGACACTGAAAACAACCACTCGGGATGGTCTGAACATACATATTCCTAATTAAAAGCAGGTCAAGATGGGTAGTCACATCCTAGGCCTGTTGCTTCCTTGACAAAGGCCAATATGAATATTTACCTAAAGCGAGCCTGTCTATTGCTTGTTTACACCTAAGATAACATACTTCTGAAATATCAGAGTAATTTTCCCAGACCTGTCAGGGCACACCCACTGCACCAGAGCACAAGACCACAGACTCCCTCTTTCTTACCTTGTTCCCCACATACCATCTCTGTGTACTGTAAATATTAATTATGAACTATCCTGTACCCACCAGTATAAAAGTACAAGGGGGGACCCAAAAAATCCCGGAATTATCTTCTGGTGGGCAGGCCCCTTGTAGTACGGGCTCCCTCCCCTATGTAAGTGTTCCACGAGCCCATCCGTATCAGTGTACCAGCGGGCAGTGTTGTGAGAGACTGCGTTCAGCTTCAGCGAATTCTTTTTGAAGACTCTTTCAACACGTTTGAACTGGTGATTTAGGAGCACACCTGCCCACACCCTGCTGAGTTTTCAGCAGCTTTTGGCCAAAAATAGCATGACCCCCATACCCTCCCCTCCCCATTCACCTGATCTTGCCCCCTGAGTGACTTTTTTTTGTTTCCCTGGATGAAAAAATCCTCAAAGGGAAACACTTTGCCTATGTGGAAGAGATGAAACAAAAAATGGCAAAAGCACTAAAAGGCACTGAAATTGACAAGTTCAAAAACTGTTTTGAGTTGTATAAAGTGTCTTGATAGGTATATTGCATCAAATGAAGACTACTTTAAAGGTGACTGAAGTTTAAACATGTAAGAATAAATAAATACGCAACCTTTTATAAATAAGTCCCAGGGGGTTTGGGGGTCTCCCCCTGTATGTTTCTCCAGTTTACTTTTTATCCAATCCCAGAGATTTCCTTACTTTGCTTTGTCCTATCCCTTAATCTACCAATGGATTTCACATGACCCTCTTTATATCTCGTCCTTTGATTTTAATGTATAAAATAAGCTTCAAAACTGCCATTCTCTGGAGCATTTTCTCAATTTGTGGAGATTTTGCTTCCCAGCAGTTGTCATCAATTTGTTGTCATTTGTGCTCAAATAAACTCATAAAAATTCTTTAAAAAATAAAAATGAGCGGACCCAAGGATCACCCTGTGATGCTAGATTCAAAGGATAGCTAGTTTCCGGGAAAGGTGACAATGTCTGTTCTAGCCCCTCCTGCCCAGTGTACGTGCTACTGCCCAGCGGTGCACAGTAACAAGGAGCGTTGGATACATCATGATGAGGTTCACTGCAGGAAGGGAGGGAAAGGTGTACCAGGCGCCTTTGAAGAAAAGCTGCAGTACAGGGAGAATTGACACATTCCCCAGAAGAGCAGAAGTTACTATCAGTCCACTCAGGAGGAACTGAAAAAATAATAATAATAATTTGGGGAATGCAGAATACCAAGTTATTTTATATTTTACAACACTCAGTCAACACTATTAACTGAGAATTAATATAAAAAGGTATAAAGTATGTTGTTTACAATCACAGAAATGTGTTAGTTTCAAAGAAATTTGTTTCTATGCAAAACAATCTATGCATCATTGGCATATGCTCTCTTCTAAAGAAGTAAAAATTAGTGATTGTGCAGGATTGTTTTCCCTGTTACTCTCTTCCATGTTTTCTACAGATTTAAAGTATCCTTCCTTCCCTCTCCTACCCAAGTTGGTGCAAGTCTTCGACCACCACCATTTCAGGTTTATTCCTTTAAGTTCAACATCTTCATCCTCTCTGTCTTCTCTTTAACTATGTATCTCTAAGAAATTGATATTAAATCCTAAGTGTAATCCTCTATGTAGAGGCTTTCAAACTTTTGATCACAACCCATGGTAAGACATACATTTTACATCTGGGGTCAGTACACACCAGAAAAAGTTATACCTATAAAACTTACACAGAAATTCCTCAAAACATCTACTGTTACTACTTGTGATGGATCTTCTCCATTCTAATCCACTTTTTTGTTTGTTTGCTATTAATTTGTTTGTTTTTGGTGCTGATGATCCAACTATTAGGTCACAACTGACAGTTTGAAAAGATAAGATACAGTGATACATCTCTCCAAGTAGCAACAGAAGGACGTGGCTAAGAGTTCTGCCTTTGGGCTGCCTGGATTCAATCACCAGCCCTACCATGAACCTGCCAACCTCTCTGCCTCAGTTCCCTTGTCATGAGTATAAAAGAGTGTTACCTTAAAACTGAGAATTAACCAAGACTATTCACAGGAAGCACTTAGAGCACAGAAAGTATTCAGTTAGTGGCTATAAATAATTCTTAAATGGTCTGTGGACTTTTTCATTGTGGTAAAATGTACACACAATTCATCATTTTAACCATTTAAAGTGTACAAGTCAGCGGTACTGCAGCCCTCACCACCCTCTAGTCCCAGGATGCTGAACATCCCGAAAGAAAGTTATACCCATTCCACCCTCTTCCCAAGGCCCTGGCAACCCCTAATCTGCTTTCTGTCTCTAGGTCCACAGACTTTTTTTTTTTCAATCCTCACCTAAGGATATATTTATTGATTTTAGAGGGAGAGGAACAGAGGGAGAAGAAGAGAGAGAGATGTGAAAGAGAAACATCCTTTGGTTGCCTCCCATACACACCCCAACTCCCACAAAACCCACAGCCTAGGTAATGTGCCCTGACCCAGATGGAACCCACAACCTTTTGGTGCACAGGACGATACTCCAATCAACTGAGCCACCCAGCCAGGGAAGCCCATAGACTTTTTAAAGAATAAAGTTAACCCTTGACTAAAGCAGTTTTTGGAGGTAGAATGAAGTGTTCTTTGGAATCATTAGTCCTATGGCTCAGGAGACAAACTTCTGCTAACCATTTCTTAGGAAAACCTCGTGAGCCACTTTAGGTAAATTCTGGGACCTATCTGGGTGTCAGAAATCCCTCTCTCCTGTGAAACCTGTTAGGGCAAGGTTCCCAAGGCATGACCGGTACAGTGAGGCGGTAGCTTTCACTGTCCACAAGAGGCAGAATGCCCAAGCTTCATCTATGAAGATGTTTCTTCATTGGTCGTGGAATAGTACGAAAAAGTAGCATATTCATCAAATAAAGAACATTTATTCTTCAGTCTTTGCATTTTGAAATTCTGCTTTCAAAGCTCAAAACTTTTACCATCAACAGATTAAAAAAGTAACCTTGGACACATTCTTGGCTCTGGGTGTAATATAATTTCCTTTTTGGACCCCGCCCCTCTCACACCCTGCTTTACCACCCTTCCTTTGGGGTGTGGAAAACTGGGCAAAAATAACTTTGTTCTTCTCAAGACCTATTCAAGAGGTTGCCAGATACTCCATCAGGAAAATAACAGTGGCAGGGAGGTTACCTTTCAAAGCAGCACTGTTATTCTTTGAGAAATAACAGAAGGCTTCTTAGGCCAAAGAAATAAATGTGACCATCAGGCACCAAAGATGTGAACTACAGAATATCCTTTGGTCCCAGCTGTATAAGTCAAAAGCTTTTCATATTCATATTCATATTCTCTCTCTCCCTCCCTCCCCTCCTCCCTCCCTCCCTCTTTCTCTCAGACCAACACCTCTCAATAAGCAGCAAAGTCCTCAGTCATTGCCCACTTTCTCTCCACTCACATCCCCCTGCTCTCTCTTGTCCTGGGAGAAAGCCTGCCCGAGTGACAGCACTGGGCACACCAGGCTTATTTGCAGTGTATGTGAAAAGGGCGGATTGGAGAGCAAGTGACAGAGGGACTTGACTCCGTGTCCCAGAATTCAGCAAACATCCCTGACTCCTACTTTGTTGCTTTATTGGCCTGGATTGAACCTTGGCTATCAGGACGTTGCTCTAAGCAACTGAGCTACCTGGTCAGGGCTTGAAGCAAGAAATTAGTCCCAGAAACCTCACACCTCCAACTCCGAGAAGCCTGTACCCAGAACTGTACCAAATTCTGGAAGAGTCTTGAGCTAGAGTGAACTCGATATGGAGCAAAGAGGATTACAGCTTCCCGAAGACCCAGGAGCCTGCCAAGTCAGTGAGAGTGCAGGTCCCCTGAGTTCGCGGAGGAGGACCCTCTCGGGCACTCCAGACGCCAGAAGCCAAAGATGAGATCTCAACAGAAGGAACGGCCCAGGAAGCAGTCACTTCCACAAGCGCCCAGATGATCCTCACCATGGGTTCGGCAGGTGCCTCAAGCATCCTGCCCTGGGCAACTCAGGGACCGCAGTCTCGCCAGCCCGAGGGTTGCGCGCTGCGAGCAGCAGGGGCCCCTCGAGGGTGGCTGCAGCGGGTACCCAGATGGAGAGGCCGCTCCCGCCCAGAGCTCCTGAAAATCGTCCCACGCGGGCCCTCGCCTTGTCTGGCAGCAGGGCCAGGGCCAGGGCCGAGGGTGGGGTTCGGAAGGTGACAGCACTCGGCTCCCTCTGCCAAGAGTGAGTCAACTCCAAACTTCCCGGAGCCCGCGCGCGCTTCCTTCAACCACCTCCCCGGCTCGCCGCAGGTCCGAGCAGCCCGCGCCCACGCGCCCGGCGGGCTCACCGACCTGAGATGGTCTCCTGGTAGCCCTTGGTGAAGAACTGCATGGCCGTGGCCGCCCTCCAGGGCGTCTTGAGCAGCCCCTGCCGCTGGGGGTCTTCGCCCAGCGAGTGCAGGATAGACGAGTAGGCGGCTGCCAGGTTGGGGAGATTCAGCTCGTTGTCCTCCTCGCTGCGGGGCCGCTGGCCCTTCCAGACGTCCGCCAGCTGGGCTCTCTTGGTCTCCGGCCGCGGCGACTTCTCGGCGGGTCGGCTCGGCCCGGGCCGTGGCGGCTCCCCCTCCAGGCACCCATTGCTGTACCTGGCGTCCCGCGGCTGCGCCGGCGCTCGCACCGGGCCCTTCTCCATGGACTCGCCGCTGCCACTCGAGGGGACTTTGGCACGCTTCCGGGGCTGCGACTAAACTTCGCCGGAGGCCGCGGGCAACGGGCTGTGGTCGGAGAAACCGGAGGATGGTAGGCGACCGGTGGGTGACAGTGCGACAGGGACACCGAGGAGCTCTTTTTTATGGGCTAGCGGCTCCGCCGGCGCCGCGGGGCGTTCCCATTGGTGGGTGATGCCGCGCGTCACGGGCCTCGTCCCGCCCCGGCCCCGCGCCCGGTACGCCCCGGAGCCCGGTGGGGCGCGCTCCCGCAAGGCCGCGCCTCTGGGGCGGTGCGGCGACCCCTGCGGGAGCTGTCTCCGCACCAGTGGAGACGGGTGGGATCGGTCTCCTTGAGTTGTCGCGGGTCAAACGAAATCTGAAAGGAGCCAAATGTGGGGAGCTGGAAGCTGGCGGGGGAGAGGCACGGAAAATAGTATGACTTGAAACTCTTGCTTTTGTTAAAGTGTGGGCAGCGCACCCTCTGGCCGGTTTCAGAGGGAGTGTTACACCAAGTGGTTCTATGTGAGTCCCTGTACCTCGGAAGATGGTGACCAGAGCTTTGACCCTGGGGAAATCAATTTGCAAGGGAAACTTAGCTTCTTCCCCCTGATGTTAATAAATATTGTGAAATGTCACTGATCAACTGGACTCTTAACCAGTGACATCTGCTTTGACTGTTTTAAGATTTAAAAATTGACTTTTCTGCTCACTTGAGGGATTATTTCATAATGGCAATGGTGAGTTTTAGTTTTAATTTTTTTAATTTTTTTTTTTTTTAGAGAAGGAAACATGGATTTGTTGTTCCATTTATTTATGCATTCATTGATTGATTCTTGTATGTGCCCTGGCCTGGATTAAACCTTGGCTAAAAGGGCGTTCCTCTAACCAACTGAGCTATCCCAACAGGGCCAAAGGTAAGTTTTAAACCATGTATCAAATTATCTTATGATTTGCTCCAGAGAGTTTCTAATGCTGGTTTTCTGTCATATAAACAAGTATTAAAAGGCTTATGATCAGACAAATCAGGAGGGACACCCCTGGAATTATTCTATACTAATAAAATAGCTCTGTCATTATAATTAGTATTCATTGAACGTCTGCTCCAGGCATAGCTGTGTTCTAAACATTAAGAACAGAAATATGGAAATTGGCCTCGTAGGCATCTTTGATCTGAAATACAAGAAATAATCATGTAAATGGATTTTCAAAAGATAGTTATTGAATTTCTATATACATTAAATACCAAGTTACATAAGTCATGAAATATGAACATGCTTTGGAAAGTCTCTTTGTCACTCTCCTAATACTTATTTTAAGTTTTTTCCCCATTAACATTTTTTCCCTGTTGCAGAGGGCGGGGGCGGCGGCGGCCGGTGGCAACGCGTAGCGGGGAGCGCAGAGTGTGGGCGCTTCTGGATCTGAAGGTTACTGTCTGGAGCTAAGGAGTGAGCGGGGCTCTGAGTCCCGCAGAGCCCATCCGGAGGTTGTCATGGATGGGAGGAATAAACACAAGTCACAGCAAACACTTCACTCTTTGCCAGGAGAGGGGACATGATGGCTCTTCCCTCTTAAGCTTCCCTCAAAGCTCATCAATCAATGTCAAAAGGCTATGTTTACAGAAAACACACAGAGATCATGGATAACAATTGAAGGAACACAAGAGACCTGCCTCAGGTCAGGGTCTATGAATAATGTAAATCTCCTTCCCAATATGAGCTGGTTATCATCATTTGTGAGGAAAGAATAAAGCATGCTTAAAGGAACTTCTGGCCTGACTGTCCCCGGGAACCGCCTGGTCCTGTTTAGGGCCGTACCTACCTTTAGTATTGTTTCAAGCTTGAGCCACGTGGGTGGGGCAGAACCGCCAAGAGATAAGGAGACTTCTTTCAGATAGAATGAGGACTCCGGCCATTTCCAAGCCAAGCTGAGGGATGAGGGCCTTTTTGCCCTTTCTCCGTGTCCCCCAAGTCCTTGCCCCGCTGCCCAAACCGGCTGATGTCTATCATAGGTCGTCAGTCCGCACGAGAGAATTTACCCGTCATCAACAACTGACCATCACAGGGCCAAGCAGCGTGATGTGAGGGATGCAGGGGCTGCGCCCCTGCCAGGGGGACAGGTTTCGTCTCCTTAGTGGCCTGTTTTCCCAAGGCCTCCTTGATTATTTCCAGCCTTGGTCCCTCTCGCCTGTCGGCGAGGCTACAGTCCCTGAACCAGGCAAGATGTTTTCCAACATTTCCCCTTTAACTGCACTCCCCACTGTCCACTGTTTCAAGCATTTTTGGAGACAACATTAAAGGATGGCCTTATTTTTAAGAAATGAGAACAAAGTTACCAGGTGAGGTACTTTAAAAATGGAAGGATTTAATGGAGAAACTTTCAGTAAGGGTTTATTTTTTGTGTGTGTGGCAATCTTTTGCCTTCTTTTAAAAACATTTGTAAACATTAACTAATGCCATATTTCCCAAAGACAATTTCTAATGGAACTTTTACTCCAGAAATTAGCATTTTTTTGTAAACACTGCCACTGAATCATCAGAGTGTTTGTTGCCAATTGTCAATACAAAGTTGCTAGATTTGTTCTAAAATATATTTACTTGTAAAATAAAGGCAATGCCTTCTAGCTAAATGCCCAAAGACAATAAAAGGAAGCTTTAAAATTGACATTATTTAAACAGTTTGACAATGAAATGTAGGTAGTTTGGTAGTTTTAAGTAGAAACGAGAAAAAGGAGGAATAAACTAAAAGAACAGGGATATGTTCCACAGAATTTATTATTGTAAAATGGTTCAACAGTCAAGATATGGGCATTCAGAGCCAGGAATTGTGACAGCACTTATTATTCTAACCCAGTATGTGATCCATTTTCACCTTGAATCTAACCTGGGAGTTTTGCTCTCCACCAAAAAGCCAAGGGTTTTTTTTTTAATTCTTCCATTTCTAGTGTTGTAACAGAGAAGCAGGTGAATGAGATGCACAGCTTCAAAGATTGAATACTGCAAGATGACAAGACATAGTCACTTGTCAAGGTAACAGGTAAACTAACATTAGGTGTTTGGCAGTGGTAATTGAAAAAAAGCAAATTTCTTCAAATGCACCTGATCAAGGTTCTATATTTGAAATTCAAACTTTGGAGGAGATTCTGGATCAAGGTGGAAAGGTACACAAGAAAAGTATCCTTATCCCACTCCTAACTTCTAGAAGCAGGACTGTGAAGTCAATGGAATTTTTAGATGTCTCACTAAAACCTCAAATGCAGAAAACTGAATGGAAGCCCTTACCTTTCCTCTCTTCTGACTGAGGAGGAATAGAAGAACTTCTAGAGAGAAAATGGAAGAATATGCACACTGAGCTTACTTTTTGAGGTAAAAGGGAAGACTAAAGGGCTCCACATGGAGCTGAAGAAACTATCCCACAAGGGGAAAGTAGACATGTCCCAAACAGTTGTGTGTCACTGGTAGATGATGTTTAATAGCATCTCAGAAGAAGGGGAAGACACTAATAAGACAGGTGCTAATGAAGAATACACACTTTGACCACTGAACGTTGTCCTAACCTTCACAATTTCCCGCAGAAAAAAACACATAACACATGCTCCGCAAGCTGCAAACTGTAGCAGAGTCGGGAAAACAAAAGGGAGTCGCTATAATGGGAAACATGGAGAAGTCACCCTCAATAACATCAGGCGTGGACAGAAGGCAGAGAAACGGCCTGGTAACTGTGCAAACTCACAACAGCCAAACATCCAAAAGTAAACGAAGGGGGAAATGATACTGCATGTAAATGATATAAAGACAAAGAATGCAACCCAGAAGAAAACAAAGCTCATGGAACCAAAGAACATTCCTCACACATGTTTTCTGCTACAGAGCCACTTATAAAAACATGGATTCAATAAGACAAAAACCAAAATAATAAAATAATAGAATTGCAAAATGAGTTGCAGATACAAGGAAACAAATTGAGGATCCTTATTATTATGGAATTAATGAGAAGCATGTACAAAATAGACACTTGAAAATTCAGTTGCTGATATGATGTTAGACATAAGAATGATATGATGTTGATATGAAGAATGAATGTACAGTAGGAGGAAGATGAAATCTATTAGAGAAGGAAAAAAATGACCTAGCGTAAGAATAATTAGGCTGAGGTAGAGCACTCAACAAAGAAGAGGACATAGTCAAGATAAAATATAAGCATATTTCTCTACCAGAAATAAGCCTTTATATTTATGGTCAGTTGATTTACATCAAGGGTGCCAAGACAATTCAACGGGATAAAGAAAACTCTTTTCAACAAATGGGACTAGGACAACTGGATACCTACATGCAAAAGAAAGAAGTTGGGTCTCTATCTCATACCGCATACAAAAATTAAATAGATTAAAGACCTAAATGTAAGAGCAAAACTATAAACTTCATAAGAAAATATAGGCATAAATCTTCATGACCTTGGATTAGGCAATTAGAGTTCTAAGAATAACACCAAAAATGGAAGCAACAAAATGAAAACAAGATAGACTTTATCAAAATTAAAAACTTCTGTGCTTCAAAGGATACTATCAAAAAAGGGAAAAGACAAACTACAGAATGGGAGAAGATATATCTGATATGGATTAGTATCTAGAATATGTAAAGAACTCTTACAACTAAATAATAAAGAGCACAGCCACAAGGGGAGCAAAGCTTGGGAGTCAGGGTGCAGAAGGAGCTCAGGGCCAGGCTCGGGGGCGGGGGAGCACGCAGGCCAGGCTGGAAGCAGAGCACTGGACCCTCCCTGTGTTCCAGCCACCTCCCAAACCAGTCATTGTGGACAGGCTTTTCCCCCTGCACCAGGAAACCAGGTTCTTGAGTCCTGAATTTATTCCTCCAAGAGGAGGAACAAATCCTCTGAAATTTCAAATAGAAAGAAAAGATATGTTAAGAAAGGAGAAAAGCACCTCATATTCCAGAGTTCTATGTTGGAAGCATGCTTCATGTTACTATGGCCGACCCATATGTCAGTGGAAAAACCTGCCAGTTTGGGGGGATTTGCATCCAGAGGACAGGAGCAGGACTTGGAGTTACTTCTATCCTTAGGAATACTATTAAAGGACAAGAGGGTGAGATTT